GGGAAAGAATGTTTTCTAATTATTGATGAATATAGTTGTTTTGCTTGCTAATCTGTGGAAGTTTTGGCATTGTTGATGGAGAGTGTGAATTAGAGATAGAAACGAGCACAGCGAAGGAATAGTATTTTCCAAGAAGTGGGATATGTTTTTGGGTTTGAATGGTATTTTGCATAAAAGTTCAGAGAGCTGGTTGCAACCTTTGATGGCTCTCTACCGATTAAATTGTGGATTTTTCGGTCCACGAGAAAAATAGGACAGCGATGGGAGACGTAAAAACACTTTTAAGGTATTGTTTTGCAATGAAAAGTATGAAATCACTGAGACATATTTCAGATTAGAATTCCAATAAGGAATTTTAAACTTAAATTGCCGCTTTAATAAGGGTTTTTTTAGGGTGGAATATTTTTGCCTGCTTCATTTAATCGATTTGAGTTTTCAGTTCTAGATTTTTACAGTTAAAAGTTTTAAAAAAATATCACATTTAACTTTTTTTGTTACAGTTAAAAATTTTAAAAAAATGTCACATTTTAACTTGAATTTACAAAGCGAACGAGACTTTTTAAGTCGTGGTAATTCTGGTGAGAATAGATTAGAATTCCAATAAGGAATTTTAAACTTAAATTGCCGCTTTAATAAGGGTTTTTTTAGGGTGGAATATTTTTGCCTGGTTCATTTAATCGATTTGAGTTTTCAGTTCTAGATTTTTACAGTTAAAAATTTTAAAAAAATGTCACATTTTAACTTAAATTTACAAAGCGAACGAGACTTTTTAAGTCGTGGTAATTCTGGTGAGAAGTCATTTCATTCGAGTATGTTTCATCATCACTCGAAAGTTTGAGACTTGTAGCTTCTGTTGCTTTTCTCTTTTTATATGAGTTACATTTTCCTCTGACGGGATTGTTTTAAGGTGACCTTGGTAGCAAAACACAGATCAAAAAGTAGAGTTTCTACAACTTCTGATATATTTCTATTTGTATCAAGGAAAACCGATTAGCAAATTAACTCATCAAGCAGTTGAAATGAAGACAACAACTTTCTCTCTCTGGAAATCAAATCAACCAATATAGCCCAGGAATCAGGCTCGGGTTTGAACCCCATCTCTAACAATCCAAACAAAGCCATAGCCGCATCATCTGCCATTCCGGCATTACAAAGGCGCACGAGTAATTCGTTTGAAGTTGCGAAATGCGGGACAAACCCTCTGCCCAACATCAAATCCAACAGGCTTGTAGCCTTTTTCAGTTCACCTTTTTGACACAAGAAATTCAGAACAATCCTGTAACTTGCCTTGTTCAGATGCATACCCTCATAAGGAAGTCTTTCTAGCATTCTAAGAGCCTCCTCCAATCTACCCTCTCTACATAGTCCTCCGAATATGACGTTGAAAGTCACCACATCCGCTCTGCATTCTCCCCCTTTCATTTCTTTGAGCAACTCCATAGCCTCATCTGTCCTTCCAGTCCTACAAAAGCAATTAATGATAGTGGTATACCCGACTTTGTCTGGTTTGGGTCCAAAGCTCTTCATCTCATAAAAAATCTCCTCGGCTTCCTCAAATCTTCCTACCTTAAAGAACCCGTTGATGAGGGCCGAGTAGTTGAATACATTTGGGCTGCATCCGTTGCTCTTCATAAACTCCATTATCTTCCTTGCCCTATCGACCTTACCATCGCGGCAGAACCCATTAATCAAGACATTGAATGTCAGTGCATCGGGTAAGATTTGATCCTTTGAGATCATTTCCTCAAAAAGTTCAATTGCTCCTTTGAGTCTCCCACTTACACAGAGACCATCTATCAGAGTCGAGTATGTAATTAGATTAGGATAAGAGATTTTGGCCTTCTTCATTTCTTTGACAACCTCAAAGGCAGATTCCAGATCCCCATTCCTGCAATGGTGCTTAACTAATATATTAAAAATACAGGTATTTGGCTTCAAGCTGAGATTCTTCCTTGAATGCATGAGAAACTGCCGGGCCAAATCAATCCGGTTTGCTTCAACTAGGAGATTGAGACAAGTGCTGATGGCCTTCAGAGAGGGCTTTTCCCGAGCAATTGACCGGATGGCATGGAACATCTCAAGCACTTTTTCATGCAGAGCATACTTTGAAAAATGCTTCATGAGATTCAAGAATATAGGCTCATGAAATTTGCAGGTTTCATACATCATCTGACGAAGAATTGCATCGATTGCTCCAAACTTCTTAGACAGAGCAAGCTTATGAAGGATTGTTGAATAGGTGTCACCGTTATGGTTGAAACCCTTTTGCTCGGACACACTGTTGAATATCTCCAATGCACGTTGTGGATCCCTCTCACGTTTGATCAAGTTGATCGCAGTATCGTGAGAAATGTATTTGGCTTTTCTCCGACCTTCTAAAGAGCTGGCTATGGATTCGGTTGGAGGGTCTGGTTTCTTGGAGCTGGCTTTTGACAACTGAACGGGAGAGATCCATCGAATCGAAGATGATGATTCTAAAGGTGACGTGGAGAACCTGTGATGCTGACTGCAAAAAGCTCTGACTAGATTCATGAAAATTGCTGTTTTATTTATAGGGCTGCGTTGTCATCCGAAGGAGTTGAGGACCTGTAAAAGTTGCACGTAAAATAATTTCAAACAAGTTAAAGTGCTGAAAAATTGTAGTAAGATCCCAGGCAGAGGCCAAAATTTGTCTTAAAGTATATTTATTTACGATACTTATAACAAGAACGATGACCCCAGAAAAGACTAGCAGAGAGAACTTGTAAGAACTACGAGTCAAATCAAATATCAGAAGCCCAATATAATTTTCTTATAAACCAGGCATAAAAGTTAAATTTTGTTTTATCATTTGAAACCAAAAACAGACAAGAAAGCAAACACTTAAACATCTTCCATAATCTTGAATTCCTTTGCACAGAAGAATCATAAGAACAAATTTCAAGTCTCAGTATCTCTCTTTTTAATAACCGTCGAAAGTTTTCGTTTTTCACGGAAAATAATTAAAAAAATATATATCAACATAATCAAGAAAAATACTAAAACTGAGACCATGAGTTCAAAGTGCCTTCCTTTACTTTCTGCAACGGAATAAGGCCAAACATAATAAATTATCAATAATCGTATTCGTCGAAGCTACGAATTGCACAGTGAACACATTTGGATAGCAGCAGAAATGATTAGGGATTTAGGACACGGAAAATGTGTATATACCTCATAGCAGGCATGTGCAGTGACGGAGGAGCACAAAATGGCACCGTTTGAGGGTGCTGGCGCGTGAAGGACTGGCGGCGAGTGAAAGAGAGAGTGAGGGGAAAGTGCAAAATCAAACTGCTAGAGTAACCAGTTCCATTTAGAGATGTTCGCAGACAATTTAA